GGTGTGTTGTCCTGGCCACCTGACAAAGTTGGCCCATGATCTGGCCCACCCTACCCAAAAGGTTCTGGAAAGTTTTCACAATGCCCCAAGGCCTTCAGAAGAACCAAAGAGAGCCTTTGGCTCTGAGGGATTCTGAGTAATTCACCACTCCTATCTTCTCAATAAGCAGTGGCAAGATAAAAAAAAAATGGCAAAAGGCTAAACACATGCTATATGCACAGAAGAATATGAGAAAATAAGAAGAGCCTTGCTGAGTCAGGCCAAAGGTCTATTGAATCCAGCATCCCATTCTCCCCGTGGCCTCGGGGAATTCCACAAACAGGAACTGAATGCAACAGCACTCCTCCCAGAAACTGGTATTTGGAGACATCCCTGAAATTGTAGTCAGTGTTTCAGGTGGAAATCAGATTAAAATCTGAGGTTTCCCCCCACCCCCAACTGCTTAACCTGATCCAGGAAGCAATTTCATGGGCGTCAACTGTGCAAAAGTTCTACCAACCATGCCAATCCCGCTTTGTCAATACACCTTCTATTTTTAGCAAATATAGACTAATATAAACATTTAGCCTTTTCAGATCTCAGTGCGGGAAAAGGCACACTGCTTGGGGAGTGTTCTCAAAGCCTTGGAAGTAATTGCTATGGTTGGCTCTTGAGCTTTCCTCCTAGATGAATGGTATTGCCATTCATAACAACCAAAAGGAACTTTAACGTAATGCATGACAATGACAGTGCGTTCTAACAAAGTACTAATGTGGTGACACACACAATAATGCCATTTGTTCAAGGTCTCACCATGAGTTTCTTATTTTGGAGCGCTTCAGGTGGCAAACCTATTCGCCTTTCAGCCCTTGTTCAATTGTTTGAAAGTTGGTTGATTGAAAAATTAAAAATAAAGTAACTAATATCTGATCAGTGAGTGCCCTCTAGTGATGAAAAATATTTAAATCCTCTGCCTATAGATTGGAAATTCCCTATGACATCTGCCTGTTTACAGTTTCTAAGCACCGCCCTTTAAACTCAAATGTGAAATCTTATCTGGATCTGACTCAGTGTAAAATCTGTGTTTCTTCCTCCAGAATTAAGCACAATGCAAGCTGGGCTGAGCAATCCTATATTCATATTAACCCAGCACAGGAGATATGCCACCACTGCACTGGTAGAACGGCCGCTATATCCTATCCATGCTCAGTCCAGGGCAAAAGGAAAACACCCTAGCAGAAAATGCAGAAGCCAATCAGGAACTATACTGGCAATAATGCCCCTAAGCTGCCTATGCAGGAACAAACAATGAACTCATGACAATTGGAACATAGCATGACTAGTGGCTGTTGCACGTGCTGAGGTGCTGGTGTCTGTCAGGGCTGGTTCAGCATGAAGACTCAGAGATGAATAATAAAGCTAATTCTTTTATTCAAGGCAATAGAACACACACAAACCTGCGGCAGACCCTCCAAGTGTCTCTATTTTGCAGGGACAGTCCCAGATTTGCAGAAGCCACCCCAATTTCTGATTTGATCCTGAAATGTCCCGCTTTTCCTTAGAATGTCCCTATTCTCATCAGAGAAATGCTGGAGGGTATGGTAGGATTTTCATCAGAAAAATGTTGGAGGGTATGGAGTTATCTGCCCCAAGCCTCCTGAAGGCAGCCCTGTATAGGAAAGGTTTTTATAAAATAATGTTTAATATGTAATTTTTAAAATTATTTTTATATATGTTGGAAGCCACCCAGAGTGGCTGGGCAACCCAGTCAGATGGGTGGGATATAAATAGTAAAAATGTGATTACGATTATTATCATAGAATAGGACATCCCTATTTGGAGGGATGTTGGAGGGTATGCTAGGGGTATGACTGGCCCTGGCAAAGACATTCACAGAGCTAGAGTTCTGGATCTCCCACTTCCTGCTAAGCCTCCTCCCCACCCATGAGTCTCAAACTCCGTTGGAGAGGGGCTCTGTAACATGTAACACCCTCTGAGTCCTCCTCAGAGACAAGCGGGGAGGAGAGCTAAACACAGTAGGACCTGCCTGCTCCTGCGAATCTGTCTCAGCTTCAGCCCCCACCTCCTCCTCAGCTTCCTGTTCTATGTCTGCAGTGTTTTCCTTCTCTCTCTCACTCAAGCCTGTTTCTTGTTCAGCATCCCCCCATTCCTCCTCTGTCTTCATTGTCCCACTACCACCCTCCCAGCTCAGAGCTCTTCTCTTCTGAGGCTTCCCTGGGGTCTTCGGGCTGGAGCTCCCCACCATTCCTCACCACCCAGCCAGTCCCTGACAGTGTCCTCATCACCCTGAGTTCATAGGCTCTTTCTCTATGGACAACATATGAGCATTATCATCAGTTGAGTCCATGGTGGGTTGCCACTAGTGGTGTATCGTGGGTTGCCAGGGGCATGTCTGTCCCTTTTATACCATTTTTGTATTTTCTGGTTGTGTACTTTGCCCTTCCTTCCTATGATAAGCTTGTCCAGGATATTGTGGCCATTCAGCCAACAGCGCTATCTTCTCTCAAAGCATAATTATAGTTATGAGTTGCTCTGCAAATTACTTCCTTCCTGTCAACATTGAACGTGAGCTTTCAGAGTAGCTTTTATTGTTGTCTAATCCAAGAATGGGGAATGTGTGGCCCTCCAGCTCCTCAACTGTGACACTCCTTTCTTCACATGGCAACTATATTTTCTGTGCTCTATGATTTTACACACTGCTGCAGAAACTGTCAATTTCAATTCGAACTGTAAAGGCTTTCACTTCCAGCCATTTTTGAAATTATGTTAATAAGGCAGATGTTTCTGTTTGTTTACTTTGCCTTGTAATTAGAAGAGAACGCTTTAAAAGTATGTGTCAAGACAACATTTTTTTCTGTTGGTATAAACTACCGGTATATGCTCTGTGTTCAGGGGTTTGCTGTGGGGTTGTTTTTGTTTTTTTGGTCTGGTTAACCCACATATAGCAATTGAAAGGACCCAGGAAAGAGGAAATCTCCAATTAACATCAATGCAAACCTTAATGCATGCTAATTTCAAGGGCAGCTCATTTAAACCACGGTCAGCTGATTTCTGTATTTCTACAGGATTAACTCTTCAACATCTGGCACCGGAGGCTTGTTCCAAACATTATCAGAGTTCAAAAGCTTTTCTTCCAGCAATCTCCAATGCTGGCAACAATCCCAGATATGTGGAATGAAAATGCAGCATCTATGTGGTATACGCATGCGGGTGCACACAGACAAGCATGCCAGCCAAAATAAGTGATCCCACAAACCGTCCTACACAAACCACCCTGGAACTAATAGATTCTATGCCAGGCTTCCTCAGCCTCGGCCCTCCAGATGTTTTTGGCCTACAACTCCCATGATCCCTAGCTAGCAGGACCAGTGGTCAGAGATGATGGGAATTTTAGTCTCAAAACATCTGGAGGGCCGAGGTTGAGGAAGCCTGTTTCATGCAAATGCTGACAAGTCAAAATTGATTTTCTTGTGACTTTAAAATATCTAACATTTCAGGAAAATATTGGATTTCGGAAGCTTCCCCATGGCAAGCTCAGTGTGTGCATCTTGTTCTTAGCATGTGAGTGACAAAATCAGCAGCAGGCAATTTTATTTTATCCTTTAACTCAGTGGTTCCCAATTAGCTAAATGCTGAGGACCCCCTATTTTTCAAAAGCCAATCCACAGACCCTCTACCTTTGAAAATTTTGATAACTCCATGGTGGCTACCTATACAAAGCAATTTTTTGAACAAAATATGGGGTAGTCCCTAATAAGCAAAGGATTTTAGGCATACTAAAAAACAGACTAGGGCTGAGTGATATATCACGATGCTGAAAAACAGATATCAGCGGCTAAACATTGTGATATTCCGATATATCACAATGTCTTAAATTTGAGATCAGGTGTGGGGATGAGGGAAGAAGTAGCCTCAGAGGTCGAAGGTAATGCCACGGTGCCTTGAAGTGAGGGCAATCAGCTCTGTTTTCCCTCAGCTTGAAGGAAGGCAGCTCAGATCAGCAGCGTTTATCAGCCAAGATCGGAGGTACCTTGAAATAGGCTGCCCTGCTCTACCTCACACAAGGAGTGACATTGCTGCATATTGCCAGGTCAAAATCATTATCACAGTGTGAGTTTGGTCAATATACTGAAAAAATTGCACAGCGCTAAAACAAGACCATTGAATTTGTGATTTTACCATGCAAAAATGACAAAAAAAATAGTTGGGGGGAGGCAAGGGATGGTGTGTTCCCCAGACCCCTAATTGGGAACCACTGCTTTAACTAACAGCCAGATCCTACTTATGTTTCCTTGAAAGTGCAGCTGTGCTCACTGAGACTTATTCATAGTAAATATGCTTAGGATTTCATCATGTGTGAATGAAGAGAGCTGGGGATAAGAACACAAGAACCGCCTACTGGAACAGGCCAATAGCCCATCTAATCTAGCATGCTGTTCTCACAGGGGCCAACCAGATACATTTCACTTATCTCAAGGAGACACAAGGCCAGTTCCCTAATTGGACCACATTTTTCGGCTGCGATGTTATGGGACCCATCATCAGACCCAAGGTCCTGAAAAGTTGTTGGACTCCAACTCCCATCAGCCCCAGGCAGGACGACCAACGGTCAGGGATGGCAGGACTTGTATTCCAACAACATCTGGAGGGCCAAAGCTTTCCCAATGCTGTTTCATAAAGGTAAAGGTAAAGGTACCCCTGCCCGTACGGGCCAGTCTTGACAGACTCTAGGGTTGTGCGCTCATCTCACTCTAGAGGCTGGGAGCCAGCGCTGTCCGCAGACACTTCCAGGTCACGTGGGAAGCGTGACGAAGCTGCTCTGGCAAGCCAGAGCTGCACACGGAAACGCCATTTACCTTCCCGCTAGTAAGCGGTCCCTATTTATCTACTTGCACCCGGGGGTGCTTTCGAACTGCTAGGTTGGCAGGCGCTGGGACCGAGCAATGGGAGCGCACCCCGCCACGGGGATTTGAACCGCCGACCATGCGATCGGCAAGTCCTAGGCGCTGAGGTTTTACCCACAGCGCCACCCGCGCTGTTTCATATTGCATTGTAATTGTTATATGAGTTTTGCAGGCTGCCCAGAGAACTTATGTTATGGGGCGGTTATGTAGATCCAGTTGAGAACAAGAAATAAATCTTAGCATCCATTTGCAACATCAAAATGGCTCAAAGTTGCGTTGCCCAAACTTGTGTTGCCCAGGTGTTTCCAGCAGCACAGAGAGTGGGCATGTTGCAGGGCAGATCTTCATGAAGCCAAGGGCGGCCTGCGTATGTAGGAAATATCATGCTCAATATTTCTCTGATCAGTTTGAGGCTATTCTTGAATGCTCTCTACTGCATCCTGTAACAATAAAACCCAGACTGTTTTATTGCCTGCGAGTCGGATCAGAAGGGAGATACTGTTGCTTTATGTTAGGAGCACCATCAACTTTTGCACCTTCTCTCACGAACCTTGCAAGAATAGAGGAAACTGCCCAGAGCAAGCAGGTTAACCACTCTTTGGAGGAACAGCTGGGTGCACCCAGGTGACTGTCGCTGGGCCACTCTTCAAGTTATCACAGAACAAGTGGTGGGATGGATCCTGTACCTGGGGGAGAGCAGTCTGTGATGAGCAGAGACAGACTCACAGAGAGTGATGAGCAATAGTCAGCAGCTGGAGCAGATGGTTCCTGGACTTAGAAACATAGAAGGTGTTGCGAGGAGGCGAGAGGGAAGAGGGAAATGGTACCAAATGGGTGCTCTGCCACTACCACTATTGGGGCTTGGGGGAAAACCAGAGAAACTGTGATTATAGTCCTCCTCCCCCCGCCCCCGTTTGGGTTGTAGTGAAACTGTGCAAAGTGGTTGTCTGTTTTGTGCATTCAAGCTGTGAGCAGAGGCAGATTTAGGGGAGAGCGACCAGTTAGTCTGCACTAGGCACAGAGCCAAAAGGGTCTCGCAGGGGGCACAGCAACAATGGCAAACAAGGCAAGAGGTGGAGAAGAGGGAGTGAGCTGAATTTTGGTGTTGCACCAAATTTTAAAGCCCAAAGTTGGCCACTGCTGTGAGATGCTTACCTGTATTTATCCAGTTGTGACGTTGGTTAGAGTGTCCTTTGCCAACAGAGGGAGCCTGTTGGGAGCAAATTGTACAGCAATATGATCAAACAAGATGTAGTTTTGCTGTATACAGTTGTACCTTGATTAAGTACTTAATTCGTTCTGGAGGTCTGTTCTTAACCTGAAACTGTTCTTAACCTGAAGCACCACTTTAGCTAATGGGGCCTCATGCTGCCGCCGTGCTGCCAGAGCATGATTTCTGTTTTCATCCTGAAGCAAAGTTCCAAACCTGAGGTACTATTTCTGGGTTAGCGGAGTCTGCAACCTGAAGCGTATGTAACCTGAAGCGTATGTAACCCAAGGTACCACTGTATAGGAGAATGGAGAAAGGGAGTGAGACATGAGAGCAACAGTTATATATTCCAGCAGGTTTGCCCCTTCCCTTGCTTAATTGTATGGGGTGGCCTATCCTAGAACCCCCAGTTTTGTATTGGGTATTTGGGGGTTTCACACACACAATCCCTTTGTGTGCAAAGTGACCTTCCTCACTTTTCCCCATCACCAAGTCCCCCCGCTCCCCACACAAATTCTAAGTGTGCACAGCACCAGTCCACATGCTACATGCCCCATCATCTGAGCTGTGGTCTCCCCACCCCTGCCATCATCTGCCATGTGGAGATAGTGCTGCTGGCCAACCTTACAAGGCTGTTGTAAGGATTATGGAGATACCACGTATGAAGCTTTTCACAAAAGGGATTTTTCACATATTTATTTATTTTAATAGCTTTTTCTCCAATTAAGGTCCTCAAAGTGCATGGCTACAAACAAGACAGTCCCTGCCCCTGCTTACAGGACACAAAAGGAAAACAGATTGGGAGGGAGGAGGAAATAAACTCAGGTACAAGTTCTTACCTACTAAGATCCTAGTGATGTCCAACCTTAGTCCTACTCTGAGACCCACTGTTGGCTATCACTCGCATTGAGCTGTAGGGGCAGGCGTGAGGGTTATTCAAAAGGCACAGGGGGAAATACTGCAAGGGCAAGAAAACTCGCAGTACGCTCCATCCCCTCCTCTCTTGTTCAGACCCCTCCTTCCTCCTCCTCCCCGCGTCCCCCGTCTCGCGGCAAGTGGCGCGGAGCAGCGTTCCCCGCGCGTCTCTCCTTCCCGCGGCGCAGCAGCGGAGGCTCCATCGCATCCTCGCAGGCGGAGCTCCGAAGGCGGCGGCGGCGGAGGGAGGGAGCGAGGCCGGTGGCGGCGGAGATGGGCAGTCGCTGTCCTCTTCCACCTTCAGCCTAGGAGCCACAACATGCTGGGGGTTGCGCAGCCCAAGGCACCTGCCAGCTGCCTCCTCCCGGCCGTGGGCAGAGGCTCTGCGCGGGGGTTGCCGGGCGCCATGGAGAGGCCGCCGCAGCCGCCGCTGCCGCTGCTGCCGCCCGTAACCTGATCTGCCCCCCGCACGACACACTCTCACACACACACCAATACCCGTTTGGTGCTACATCATCGACAGCCCGCGGAGCCCCCGAAAGCCAAAGCGGTGAGTGATCGGCACCCCCTCCCCCTCTTCGCCCACCCCAGATGTTTTTGTCTGCGGCGAGGGGGCTGATCGATTGATGCACGGTTTGCTGTGGGGCGGGAGGTGGGAATCCGAAGGGTCGCCGGGAGGGGCAGGCAGCTCACCGCTGTCGCTGGAGGAGAGTGTCCGAGGCTTTCCAAGGATGGCTGTTCCCCCCCATCAGGGTGTTTTCTGGGGAGCGGCGCTGCATCCCAGCGGCAGGGAGACGAGGCGGAGGCTTGTCCAGAACCGGGGAAACCGCGGAGAGGTCGGTCTCACGGGACCCGGAGGAAAATCAAGCTTGCGTTAGAAAGAGGCGCTTTGGGATCCTGATCCCCTCTGTCCTCCCCACACCTACCCGCCCTCCCCTTTCTCCGGTGGCAGGTGCGAGGGGGCTGGGGAGACGGAAGGGAGGGGGTCCTCTTCAGCGCCCCTCTCTCCCATCTCATGTATGGGGGAGGCTAACCTTAATGATCCACGTCGCCCAGGGCGGAGGGAGAAGCGTTTGGGGCGGGGGAGCTTCGGTTGGGATCCCGCCCATGGACACACACACCGCCGTTAGGTTCCCCTCCCCTTGATCTCCCGTTACTCAGGACGACTTTGCAACTTCTCGCAAAACTCCGCACTCTTTCTCCTTTCAGTCACTGGGGCAAGAACCGCGGTGCATAGAAGCCAACTCCTAGGGGCCGAGGTCCCTTCGGCCCCCTCAATAAAATATTTGACACACACACACCCAAACTGATAGGCATTGCCATTCAAATAGTGTGCCTCTCTGCACCACGTCTTGTGGTCGATTATGCGGGGTGGACCACCCCCCAATACCCCTGCCACGGTGCGGGGAGTCTCCCCGGATGGATCTTGCCCGGGTGCTATGGGGGTGGAGAACGGTTGTGGGTTCCTCTGCTTCCCACTGCGCCCCCCCCCCAGGCCACGGAGACGCAGATGCCGGCTAATCCCTCGATGGCAGCAGATTAAATCCCGGCGAGGTTATTTTTACGATTGATCCTCCTGATTTCGCTGCTTCTGTTTTTGCTTTCGTTCCCTCGCAGATCCTGCAGGAAGCCAGGCATGGTGGATCCGGTGGCGGATGCGGGCGAGGAGAAAGACGCAGAGCCCGGGAGCGCGGCAGCAGCAGCAGCAGCAGGTGGAGACGAGGCCTCGGCGGCGGCGGCCCCGGCAGCAGCAGCAGCAGCAGCCAGTTCCTCCTCCTCGGCGGCGGCGGCGGATGGGGCCTCTCCGGCGTCCGCCTCGGCGGAAGCGGCGGCTCCTCCTGGCGGAGACGCGGGGCAGCTGCGCGAGGAATCGCCGATGCTTCACCTGGACCTGTACAACTTCGACTGCGCCGAGGCCGAGGGCAGCCGCTATGTGCTCACCAGCCCGCGCTCGCTGGAGGCGTGCGCCCGCTGCGCCGTCAAGCCGGTGGAGCTGCTGCCGCGCTCGCTGGGCGAGCTGGTCAAAGAGGCGCCCGGGCGCTCCATGCGCGTGGCCGCCGGCCTCTACGAGGTCTACGAGATGGACCGGCAGAGGAAGCTGCAGCAGTGCCGGGAGGAAAGGGAAAGGATTATCCGCGAGGAGAAGAGGAGGCTCTTCACGCCGCTCCTCACCGCCAGCCTGCCTTCCTCGCCGGCGCCCAGGATCGCCTTCAAGAGCACCAGCGGCAGCTGCACCCCGGTAGGGCAGGCCAGGACCGGCTGCTTGCCGCCTCCTCCTGCTGCTGCTTCTGCTGCTCCCACGGGCGCCAGGACCAAGAAGAGCCACTCCCTGGACTCCTTGCAGAAGAGGAGGGATGGCCACTCCACCAAAACCTCCTCCGACTCCGGGGCCTCCTCCTCCTACAGCGGAGACAGTTTCCGGGACAAGTGGCCCAAGGAGCTGCCCAGGACTAAGACGGTGGCAACCATGACGGCTCTAGTGGGCCGCAGCTTCAGCTTGGGAGACCTGAGCCACTCGCCCCAGACGGCCAAGAAGGTGGAGAGGATCGTCAAGGAGGTGAAGAGGAAGAAGGGCCTCAAGGAGGTGTCGGAGAGGGACCGGAAGATCGCGGCGCTGATGATCGCCAAGCAGCAGGAGGAGAGCATCTTGAAGGAGCAGAGGTACAGTGCCCACCTGCAGTGGGACATCCAGCGGAGGCAGGCGGAGCAGAGGAGGGAGCGGGAGGAGAGGCAGAAGCAGAGGGCCTTGCTGCAGTGCCACCAGCTGTGGGAGTCGCGGCTGGAGAGGCGGCGCAGCAAGGTGAGCCAGGAGGAGCAGGCGGCCACCCTGCTGAAGCAGAAGCAGAGCTGGCAGCAGGAGGAGAAGTGGCGGGAGCACCTGGAGAAGCAGGAGAAGATGAGGCGGGAGAGGCAGGAGAAGGCCCTCCTGGACGACAAGAAGAAGAAGCGCCACCAAGAGCACAACCTGAAGGCTCAGGAGGAGGTCAAGAAAGAGGCCATGGAGCGAGAGGTGCAGCTGCTGCAGGAGAAGCTGTCCTTGGCGGCCCAGAAGAAGCTGAAGAAGGAGCAGCTGCTGCAGAGGGAGAAGCGGCTGCTCAACCAGGCTGAGAAGCGGAAGCACGAGATCATCCTCAAGGAGAAGGCCAAGCAGGAGGCCGAGGAGAAGGCGGTGCTGAGGGCTTCTGTGGAAGGGAGCCTCAACAAGGCCCAGGAGAAGTACGAGCAGCTGGTGGAGAAGAGGAACCAGGAGCTGAGGGAGAGAGCCAAGCGGGAGGAGATGCAGCTCCAGAGGGCCAAGAAGGCAGCGGAGAGGCGGGACCAGGAGCAGAAGGAGTACTTGAAGGCCTTGGCCAGGGCTTCCGAGCGGAAGCTGCAGCATGCGGCCCAGGTGGCCGAGGAAGTGGTGCAGCAGAAGGCCCAGAAGGTGGTGCAGAGCCGGCTGGAGAAGGAGAAGGTGCAGAAGGTGAACAAGAGGAAGGTGGAAGAGAACGAAGACATCCGTCGCAGGGAGATCTTGCAGTCCATTGAGAAGAAGCTGGAGCGGAGCGAACAGATCTGTAAGGAGAAAAAAAATGTATTGGAAAACGCCCGGTCTGTTGCTCGGGCATCGTTCCATGTCCGGGAAAAAGTCCGGGAAGAGATGAACATACGTACCTTTGACAGGATGGCCTTTGAGGCGGAATTGCAGGCCAGCCTGGTTAAGAAATAAACAGTCTTTTTTTTCTATTTCAGTTAAGTGGCAAAACCTTTTTTTAAAACCTTATTTATTGTTTCAGGGGAGCACAGAAACTTTGGCAGCTACTTCACAGAACTTTTTCAAACTGCATTTGTTCAGACACCTGTTTCTGCCATTCCTAAGGAGGAAAAGGTATATCTTACCCTCCACTGAAGAAAATGTTGTTTACAAGGCTCAAAACAGGGACAAATAAATTTTCTACAACCTAGTGCTGCAGTAAAAGCTCCTCAGAAAATCACGGGCCATTTCAATTCCTCCTGCAGAAATTACCAAACAAGCAGCTGCTTCCTTTTTTTATACACCTCACACTTAATTTGGATGCCATTCGCTTTGGATCAGGCTGCAGCATTTGCATGCTGAGACTTCCGCTCCCTTTAATATATAAAGATGAGTGTATTTTACAGTGTTTTGGCTCATATGGTGCACTTTATCCATGCTCTTGGAATGGAAACACTGGAGCTTGTAATGGACATTTCTAGACAAAAAAATGCAAGTAAAATTCTGATTAGGCCTGATCCATGGCATTAAGCAATATGCAGAAATTCTGGTGCAAATAAAACTATAAACATATGGGAGGTGTTTTACAGCTCCTTTCATCAACTTTTTGCTGATAGTTATTGGGTGGCATCCAGCTGTGTCCATTGCTGAAGGAAGGGATCCTCAGTGGAACAGGAAAGGGAGGGAATTTTCAGCAGTCCCCCCCCCCAACTCATGCAGCCTCCCATGGTTCCTCTAGAGCTGAAGCTGTAGTAAAAGGTAAAGGTAAAGGTACCCCTGCCCATACGGGCCAGTCTTGCCAGACTCTAGGGTTGTGCGCTCATCTCACTCTATAGGCCGGGAGCCAGCGCTGTCCGCAGACACTTCCGGGTCACGTGGCCAGCGTGACAAGCTGCATCTGGCGAGCCAGCGCAGCACACGGAATGCCGTTTACCTTCCCGCTGGTAAGCGGTCCCTATTTATCTACTTGCACCCGAAGGTGCTTTCGAACTGCTAGGTTGGCAGGCGCTGGGACCAAACGACGGGAGCGCACCCCGCCGCGGGGATTCGAACCGCCGACCTTTCGATCGGCAAGTCCTAGGCGCTGAGGCTTTAACCCACAGCGCCACCCGCGTCCTGAAGCTGTAGTAGGAATCATAAAAAATGCTTGCCTCCCTCATTCTGCTGCTGAATGCCTTCCATCAATGGGCAGACGCCAATCAACGCCGCCCACTTCTTACAAGAAACATAGTAGAAAGAACAGGCAAATGTTGCAAATATTGACCTGTAGGAATAATTGCACCAAAAGTGTTTAAAACCACCTTGAAACTTGGTTATCTTGTTGCATTCCAGGTGCGTTCCTGTAGTACCATACCTAGATTATTGGATAAAACCCGTTTAGACCAATGTGCCCAGTATAAGAAGAAAGTATCGTGCCTGATCAGAGAGCTGTATGCTGAAAGTAACATCTCCACTTATCCAAAACATTAATAGCAGCTAAATGTATACACAAGTGGAACTAGCTGCAGGCGAAAGCTTATGAACCACCTACATACTGGATGGTAATTTAATTCCTTCACAGTATGAAATAAGGTCTAGTCAAATTATTTCAGTTGTTTGTCAAGTGAGGCTAATAATGGTGTATGGAGACATATCTTGTAACCAAATGAGTTTTGTAATATCTCTGCTCAGCATGGGATCATATCAGCCTGGATAGCTCAGTTGGTTAGAGTGTGGTGCTGATTATGCCAAGGTTGCAGGTTCAACCCCCTTATGGGACAGCTCCAGAATTGCAGGGGGCTGGACTAGATCAGTGGTGGCCAAACCTGGCCCTCCAGCTGTTTTGGGACTACAGTTCCCATCACCCCGACCACTGGTCCTGTTAGCTAAGGATGATGGGGGTTGTAGTCCTAAAACAGCTGGAGGGCCAAGTTTGGCCATGCCTAGACTAGATGATCCTCAGGGTCCCTTCCAAGTCTCCGATTCTAAGACATTTCTACAACTTTGAAGTAAACAGTTGTGTTAGCAGCAGAATGAGTCCCACTAGCAGAATGGAGCTCCCCCCCCTCCATCTCCCTCCAAATTAGCACTGTAGGGTGGGGGGTCAGGAGAACTCCAAGAATGGGGAGCAGGGGGAGGAAAAGGGAAATTGTTTCACCTGGCAAGCAGAAATACTTGCACCCGCAGAACCATCGTAATAGTGAAACACTAAATTCCTCTGAGTATCGTAGAACGAGTCCCTTAAGGAAGCACGATTGTCCCCCTGAAAATTGCACTATGCAGAAATAAATTGTCATGTTCATTATTTGGTTGGTTATTAATATTGTAAAAACTTAACTTAGCAAGCGAGATCTTCTGCAGTACTGGAAGGGGCTAATATAGGAATGGTAATGTCCCCAAACAGAACAGAATTGCTAAATGTTGGCGACGCACCAGGACTGGCTTTACAATTCTGTTTTTACATAAACTATACAACACCATGAGCATATATGCCAGGTAGGGGTTTTTTTTAAATTTAATTTGCTTATTTATTAAAATATTTCAGAGCACCTTTCGAGGCATAATGGCCCTCACAAGGTGGTGTACAAAATTCCAGAATAAAATATGATATATAAAATCATCCAGTTAAAAATGGAACAGTACAAATTAATCCAAGCACAGCAGTTAATAAAACGAGATTGAAAAAGAACGGTCTTCAGAGTTTTCTTTTTTTTAAAAAAAAAGCACAACTTGATAATGATGCAGCCACATATTTTTGGGAGGAGAAAGCTATATAGGTTTGAGGCAACCACCAAAAAAGCCCTGTTTCAGGTACCTGTCAGCCTAGTAGCACATCGGTAGCTAACCTGATGTCCTTCAGATGTTTTAGACTCCCAACTTCTGTTGGTTTCAGCCAGCATGGCCAGTGCTTAGCGATTGTGGGAGTTGTAGACTACAGCCTCTGGAGGACACCCCATTGGCTATGCATAATCTAACCTGTATCATTAAGAGGTTGGGTGGCCATGATCTGCCAGGGATTCTTTAGCTGTGGTTTCCTGCATTGCAGAGGGTCAGACTAGATGACTCTTGGGGGTCCCTTTCAGCTCTACAATTATACAATTCTATGATAATAACAATATAAAACCAGGGAGTAACAGAATGTGTAAACTTGTAAATGAATACATACATAATTTATTTATTTCTTGGCTATAGGATATGATTAAGGACAAGTGGGAGAAGCAGAAAGCTTAGATGTGTGGTGATAAATTCTAAAGTCCAGGCACTTTACATGACAATCCACATCACATTCTAAGATTACACAACAGAAATGAATTTCTGGCCAACATAGACATTGCGGCTTCAATACCAAACTAGCTTCTCTCCCCACTTCAACCCTGCATCTCCATCCTTCTGCTTTGTTTAAAATCCATGCTGATGAAGCATTTGGATGGACTCGAAAGTTAGCTTGCTAATTCACGACATTTGGATTGGTCATGATACAGGGTCTTTGGAAATGGCAAATCAACTCTCAGCTATGCTTGCCAATTTATCCTTCCCAGTTCTCCCATTTTCTGAGAAAAGCTTTAAAACCACCTTTTTAAAATGTGGGGTGGGGGGTTTGGGGGTGGGGTGGGGCTGGCTATTGGGCTGTTGTTTTATTTTGATCATGTATTTTATGGTTTTATATTTTGATTTTATTCTGAGAACTGCCCTGAGACCTGCAGGTATAGAACGGTATATCAATTCAATAATAAAAACAACAATAATATTTATTTTGCACACAGATAATTGGCAAATAGCACCCCAGGAGATAATCCCTGTTGTGAAATAAGTGGCAGTGCTACATCTTTGCCTGTCCCTGCTCCTCTATGCCACTGATGCAGTCTTACTGGCACACCTGAGGTCAAACTGCACACTATAGGCAGCACATGACACCTTCTCTGACTTAAATTTAAAGCAGCAGCAGCAGGAGGAGGAGGCTGCAATCTTGAGTGGAGGATCAGCAGGAAGGAGAGCAATGGCTTGTCTCCTGTTCCCCGCCCCCCTTGGGATATTTTCCTACTCAAGATTGCTCCCCAATTGCTTTTCCTCTAGGGGGGGGAGGCACAGTGGGAAGAGAGATAAGTGCCTGTATCTTTCCCTGCAGAGTGAAAAGTAGGTTGTGTGCATGGGAGGGCAATCACCACCAGCACCCCAACCAGCACCTCTGCTGAAACTTGCAGCCAGTTTTGCTTCAAAACGAAAGGAATTGCTAGAGAAAAGATACCTGCAGATATGTGATCCACACAGTTTGGCCCTTGGGAGATCGATTTAGGATATTGACACACAGATAATGACAGCTTCGTTCTGCATACAGGAAGGTGCTTTTCACTGAGACAAAAACCAATTAGGCTCTCCCTGTGACTAGACGTTAAGGCCTTTCTGTCTCACGTTCTTCGCATCATTGTATAGACTTGCTACTAATTAGTGTGCCGTTCTTCTACCTGCTACATGAGCATTTTTCTTCAGGGATTTTGCCCTGTGCATATATCCTCCGCCACAGCAGTAAGTAGCAGTGGTCAACCTCTATGAATACAAATACTAAAGGATGCCCTGCGGATGCAGATAAGGGAAAGATACAAGGCTCAGCACTGCAAAAACCTTCAGCATTCATTGGCCAGGCACAACTGCACAAAGCAGATGGTGAAATGGAGAGAAGGGGAGAATCTGGATGCTCCACTCGGATACCTCCCTTGCGGGTCACACTTTATTAATAATTGATTTATCAGCAAATTTATACCCTGTCAACCACACGACTCAAAATCTACATACTGCTCTGCATTTGAAGAAACTGCAACAACTTATGGCACCAATCTGAACTTTTACAGGCTGTTTTGTTAAAATTGCAAGCGGCGCTCCATTTTTTTTACTCCGGTCACTTGCAGATGACTTGTTTATCGAGCGTCCATCCGGATTTGCTAGCACAAAGTTTGCAGGGAGGCGTGAGCAACATCACGCCAAGCAATTGTTATGCCACACTTTCCAGTCATGTTTCATGCCGTTAATTAAACGTCCAGGGCGGGGAGAGCAAGTTTGTGGCGCACGAGCACCAAATCCATTTTAACTGCATAACCTAAATTTGCTAGTATGTAATTGAATCTCACCCGCAAAATAGCCACGATCTGGAAGTGCCCTTATCCACACTTCCTCCTGTCTTGCAGCTTTCCCCTGGGAGAAACCATTCTTTAGCTCTGTGGATTGTAGTTTGCTCTGATTTAAAGCTAAAGAGCAGGATTTCACTGGGGGAAAAGTGAGGCAAGAGCGGAACTGCTCAGATCTGTTTTTTCTAGGCATGGGATAAATGGAAGTGTGGATGAGCCCTAAATTGCTGTAATGATCATCCTGGTTACCAGGATAGGAGCTTAACAGAGGCTGGGACAGTAAGAAGCTGGTTAGAAATGGCCACCTTCCACCCAAAATTTTGTTAGTGTACGCATGCAAAACCATGTTCAAAATCACTTAGGTCTTCAGGTTTCCCCCCTATGAATTGCTAATCTAACTGGCTTTGGTACTCCCCATAGAAGTACTGCCACATATATCACAGCAGGGATTGTGATGTTATCTCCTGGGGTGCTATTTGCCAATTTTCTGCATCCAAAATAAAT